CAAGGAGCGAGGTGAGTGCTGAGTCAGTCAGCGCTAGGAGCGAGGTGAGTGCTGAGTCAGCGCAAGGAGCGAGGTGAGTGCTGAGTGAGTCAGTGCAAGGAGCGAGGTGAGTGCTGAGTCAGCGCAAGGAGCGAGGTGAGTGCTGAGTCAGTCAGCGCTAGGAGCGAGGTGAGTGCTGAGTCAGTCAGCGCTAGGAGCGAGGTGAGTGCTGAGTCAGCGCAAGGAGCGAGGTGAGTGCTGAGTGAGTCAGCGCTAGGAGCGAGGTGAGTGCTGAGTGAGTCAGTGCAAGGAGCGAGGTGAGTGCTGAGTCAGCGCAAGGAGCGAGGTGAGTGCTGAGTCAGTCAGCGCTAGGAGCGAGGTGAGTGCTGAGTCAGTCAGCGCTAGGAGCGAGGTGAGTGCTGAGTGAGTCAGCGCTAGGAGCGAGGTGAGTGCTGAGTCAGTCAGCGCTAGGAGCGAGGTGAGTGCTGAGTGAGTCAGCGCTAGGAGCGAGGTGAGTGCTGAGTGAGTCAGCGCTAGTAGCGAGGTGAGAGCTGAGTCAGCGCAAGGAGCGAGGTGAGCGCTGAGTCAGTCGTCTCAAGGAGCGAGGTGAGTGCTGAGTGAGTCAGCGCTAGGAGCGAGGTGAGTGCTGAGTGAGTCAGCGCAAGGAGCAAGGTGAGTGCTGAGTGAGTCAGCACAAGTAGCGAGGTGAGTGCTGAGTGAGTCAGCGCTAAGAGCGAGGTGAGTGCTGAGTGAGTCAGCACAAGTAGCGAGGTGAGTGCTGAGTGAGTCAGCACAAGTAGCGAGGTGAGTTGCTGAGTGAGTCAGCGCTAAGAGCGAGGTGAGTGCTGAGTGAGTCAGCACAAGTAGCGAGGTGAGTGCTGAGTGAGTCAGCACAAGTAGCGAGGTGAGTTGCTGAGTGAGTCAGCACAAGTAGCGAGGTGAGTGCTGAGTGAGTCAGCACAAGTAGCGAGGTGAGTGCTGAGTGAGTCAGCGCTAGGAGCGAGATGAGTGCTGAGTGAGTCATTCAAGACGATATTGATGATGATGCTGGCGGGAGCGGTAGTGTAGCGGATCAGCGCGCTGCGCTACTAACCTGGCAACCCAGGATCGATTCCCCCTCGTGACCAATACCAGTGACGGTTATCTGAACCGATTCTGGGCCTCTTCTAGGTCGACTCTGCCTAAAATGAGTATCTGGTGCGGTGTGTAAACCTCGCCACTAGGGAGACAAAGGCGGTCGGGCGTGGTGCTGGCTACCCACCCCCTCGCTTGCCATACCGGCCTTCATAGGTGCTCGCTAACAGCACTTTCCCCATCAGTCTGTTACGGCTACATGGGGGATATTTGTTTTCTTTGGTGATGATGACGGTGGTCGTGATAGTGATGATGATGGTGGTAATGTTGGTGATTATGATGGTGGTGGTGGTGAGGGTAGAGGAGCGACGGTCACAACAATGAGCGGAGCGCTGGGTGGCTAAAATACAGCGAGTTGGCAGAGTTGGCACAGTGGAGGGGGGTACTCGTGGTAACTGCGTCTGTCCCGAGACCACCTGTCAGCGAGCTTTCAACACTTCACGTGGCCTCAAAGGGCACCTGGCCTGACACAGGCGCCATGGTGACGTCACCGTCCCTTGGCGAATGGTGGGTATTGGTATTGGTGGTGGTGATGATGTGGCCTGGTCTCAGCTAGCTGAGGATAGTTGCAAGCATGATTTTCAACATCGCTTGCAGCTGGGTGTAGCATCATGCCCCCTCCTTCTGATGCTGAGGGGAAATGGGTGAGGTTCAGGACTGTGGTTCATGCAGCTGCAACGGCTGCATTGGGTATGCAGTCCAGACCTCCTCAGACGCTGGCTGAAGGAGGTGTTCCGCTGGTTGAGAAAAAACGACAGGCTCACTCCCGTCTACAACATCCAACATCGGAAAATGAGGATGCTTACCGCAGCCTTCGCTCAGAGATTCGGAGGGCTGTGCGGAGCTGCAAGGATGAGTGGTGGGCGCAGGATGTTCAATCTGCCTCAGTTGCCCACAATCACAAATCACTATTTCATTCCATCAAAAAGTAACTTGCAGCACCTCACCTATCACCATCCTTAAGGGAAAGAACGTTAATCCGATCTCCGACCGCCAGGAATAGATCTGCAGGTTTGCAGAGCATTTTTGTGAGGTCTTGAGGGAGGGGAATTCCCTCAGCCCAGACAACATCATGGGGCAAGGTGGGGACGACCCTGCTAGGGCTGCCGTGCCTCAAATATTGGCAGAAGTATCCACCCCTTCTGAGTGGTTGGCTGAGATGCCATCTGTGGAGGAAGTGGGAGGGGCGATCTGAAGTTTGATACCAGGAAAAGTGCCTGGCAGAGACGATCTCCCAAGCTAAATGCTGAGGGAGAGTGGCATCTGTGTGCAGACTGTCCGACATGAAATCATCACAACTGTCTGGACGACATGACTGGTTCCGCAGGATTGGAAAAATGCCCTGGTGGTCCCCAGACAGATTGTAGCAACTATGGGGGCATCTCTATTCTCACTGTGTTGGGAAAGGTCCAGGAATGCTGAGGAGAGGCTTGCGGAGCACCAATGTGGTTTCAGACCAGGGTGGTCCTGCACGGATGCCATATTTTCTGTTTGTTTGCTACAGCAGAGGTGTAGAGAATTCCAACAAGTCCTACATTTCTGCTTTATTGACCTGGTCAAGGCCTATGATACCATCAACAGGATAGGGCTGTGGGCAGTTCATCTTCAGAGTCCCAGACTCTCGGCTCATAATTATTAAGGGCCTTTATGATGGTGGACAGGCCCAGGTAAAGCTATGTGGCCAGGAGTCGGAGCCATTCCCTGTTCACCTTGGGGTGGGACAGGGATGTCCTCTGGCTCCCACATTATTTACCATCATCTTTGACCACGTTGTTAGAGAAACTTTCCATGACTGTACCCGAGGTGGCTCGTGAAGAACGCTACTAGGCAGTTGGAGGTAATTGCCCTCCAGCAACAACGGAGGGCAGAAGAGCGATGCTCACAACAATGAACGAAGTGCCGGGCGACTAAAATGCAAGAAATGGGCACAGTAGGGGTACAGCTGGTGCATCTACCAGTCATCTCAGTCAGCCAACCATGGTACCTGGGTCTGTCCCGAGACCTCGTGTAAACGAGCCTTCGACACTTCCCATTTCCTCAAAGTGCAGCTGGCCTGGCACGGGTACTGTAGTGATGTCACCGTCACTTAGTGGTCAATAGGTGCTCACTAACAGCAACTGCCCCAAGAGTATGTTATGGCTATATGGGGGATCTTTGTCTTTGGTGGTGATGATGATGGTGGTGATGGTGGTGATGATGGTGGTGATGGTGATCATGGTGGTGATGGTGATGATAGTGTTGATGATGATAATAGTGACGATAATGGTGGTGGTGATTATGATGGTGGTGATGATGATGGTGGTGATGATGTTAGTAACCGGACATGGGCCTCCCCCAGGTCGACTCAGCCTCAAATGAGTGGACGTTGATGATGACGACGACGATGGGACTCGTGTGACATTTAAGATGATAACAACATAGAGAATACCGAAAATGCTGATGGACAGATAATAATGTGGCGGAGCTGCGGTGGCTAGGATATGTTAACTACCTCGCCTGGTATACAGGAGGTTGTGGGTTTGATCCTGGCCCTGATGCCTGCTATATATTTGGAGTTTGTATGTCTCTCTCACCATGGTCGTGTGGATTTTTATCCGGGTCCTCTGGTATCCCACTCGACATTTAGAATCGACATCCGTTTTAAGAATATTTGGCTGCTATAAATGTCCACAGGATAAGCTACTTCGTTGAACTATCGTTTGTGATGGCCAGGTGGCTTCTGAAAAAGAGCTACACAGCTTAGTGGGCCTTACCTGGTAAAATAAAAAATAGTTCAGCTTTCGCGCGGTGAACGAATGAGCGAGTGTTCGTTCCCTTCCATACAGCGGCGGTAACGGTGGCGGTGGCTGCCATGGAGGCCGGCTCTCTGGCCCTGCCGGTCTCCGCTCCGTCCCAGCGCCCGAGGGTGAAGCAGGAGGATGCAGCCTGGAGGCGCCAGTCTCCACCCGCAGATGGGACGCCGTGGAAACGCGAGGGGGACGGCCGCGGTGAGAAGCACCCCTCACGAGCACCTCCTGAGGTCACTTGGAGCCACCACTACCACCCCCACCTTCCCCCCCACCACCACCCTCACCAGAAATATAAAACTAGGAACAATTTTATTTATATTTTTATTTTACCAGGTGTAAGGCCCAATGAGCTACGTAGCTCTTTCTCAGATGTGACCTGGCCATCACAAATGATAGCTCAACCAACTGCTGATCATCATGACGTGGAAATGTATAGCAGCAGCCAATTACTCTCGATGTGTGACGTTCATTCTAAATATGTGGCAAAAAACGGGAGGACCCGGAGAAGAATCCGCGTGACCAAGGGGAGAGAGACACGCAAACTCCAAATATACAGCAGCAGGCGTCAGGGTCGAGATAAACTCACGACCTCCTGGATACCAGGTGAGGTAGTTAACACCTCTTAGCCACTGTGGCGAGAGAAGGAGAGACATGCAGACTCCACATATACAGCAGGCGTCATCAGGGTCAGGATCGACCTCATACCAGGCGTGCGTTAACTCTGTCGCTCCCCTCTCTGCCCTCCTCCGTAGAACCGATTGTGAAGAACGTGCATGAGCGCAGGGCCGGCTGTGACATGTGGCTGGAGGTGAACATGACGCGCGACGGCTTGGCCCAAGGCAGGTGGCACTCCCTGCTGCCACTGCTGCTGCTACTGCTGCTGCTACTGCTGCTGCTGCCGCTGCTACTACTGCTACTGCTGCTGCTGCTACTACTGCTGCTGCCGCTGCTACTGCTGCTGCCGCTGCTACTGCTGCCGCTGCTGCTACTGCTGCTACTACTGCTGCTATTGCTGCTGCTACTACTGCTGCTGCTACTGCTGCTGCTATTGTTGCTGCTGCCGCTGCTACTATTGCTACTATTGCTACTGCTGCTGCTACTGCCGCTGCTACTGCTGCTGATGCTACTGCTGCTACTGCTACTACTGCTGCCGCTGCTGCTCCTGCTGCTGCTACTGCTACTACTACTGCAGCTGCTGCTGCCGCTGCTGGATGTTGCACGGTGCCGTGCGGTGTTTTGTAGTGGACGTGCACATACCCTGGCACAAGCGCCGTGGTGACGTTGCCGCCACTTAATAGCGAATGGTGGCTGTTGTTGTACCCAGGGAGTAGGTGAGGGTTATTCGGTGTCTTTTGAGAACGGAGGGGAAATATTCACCAAAAATGAAGATAGGGTTCGTACATCAGCACATCACTTACTACCCCTTGACTCCACCACCGCTGCTGCTGTCATGCATTGCCAGTCTCCACCCACAGCCGGGACGCCGTGGAAAAGCGAGAGGGGACTGCCGCAGTGAGAACCGCCTCTCACGAGCAGCCCCTGGGGTCACCAGGAGCCTCCACCACCACCCTCACCACCCCCAACAGCACCACCACCCCCAATTTACAGCTGAAGACTGTGCAACATTCTGCTCCCCGCATTCACACAGTGGGCTGTCACGTAAACACGCCCCATCGATGTTCGTAAGCAGCACACACTCCCTGGTCACACCTGAAACGGTTGAACTGCACCAATTGGCGCCTTGGGATGATGCGATGTGCAGCTTGAACACGCGTGGTTTAGAAGCCACTTGCCGTTTCTCCCGACACTGCCCAGAGTCGGTGCACTTCGCTCTTTTGATCCTCAACAGGTGCGGGCTGTAGGAGCGTTGATCGCACATCCACCAGGCTTCCCGTGAAGACTGAAAGTAAGTCGTCATCCCTCCCATGGTGATTCTCCTCCCCCGATGATTCCTAATCTGAACGACAAACAATTTTTGAGGTCCACGATGTGGGGGCACTTTACAATGCACGGTCAGCGTTGCTTGCGCTGCACGAAACGGTATGTCTGTGTGTGTGACATGTACAGTATTGTAGCGGTTAGCGCTATGCTGCGTTACTAACCTGGTGACCCGAGTTTAATTCTCACTCACGGCCAGCACCAGTGTGACGATTATCTGAATCGGTCCTGGGCCTCCCCTAGGTCGACTCAACCTCAAATGAGTACCTGGTACAGTGTGTAAACATCGCCACTAGGAAGAAAAAGGTGGCCGGGCGTAGTGCTGGCTACCCACCCCCCATGTGCCGTGCTGGCCTTCATAGGTGCTACTCGCTAACAGCACTTGCCCAACAGTCTGTTAAGGCTACACGGGGGATCTTTGTCTTTGAAGCATGCATCTGCCGCGGAAACAAGGGAGCCTATTCTGCGATGTCACTGAGCCTTGGGTTGTACCAGGCAGGTTTAGATAGCTCCCATCACCCCACATCTCTTACAATACTCCTTGTGCAGTAACAGCAGGGAGGTGAGTCGGTCCCTAACTGCCACATTATCACTCACCCTCCACACCCCCTTGCAATGCGGTCAGTGTTGACACAGCAATTTAGTTTGTAGAATTTTAAATATATATGTGTCAGCTTGACAGCTATCAGTGCTCAGTGATGTACAATTTTAGTGCTGGGTGCCACGACACAGTGGTGGGAGTCGCTGAGGAGCCCTGCAGAGATGTGTGCAGGCGTGCCCACGTGAAGCAGTGGTGAGAGGCGCCGGTACTGCGTGCCCACGTGAAGCAGCGGTGAGAGGACTCTCTTTCTTCGTGAGAGGCACCGGTACTGCATGTGCCGCTGTTTGCCGCTGTTGCCGCCCATGGCGGGCAGGGCTCAGGAGGTGTACCCTGCTCACCTAGGTATGCAAGCTGACGGAGGGGGCCTCCAGGCCGGCGAGGAGACTTACGGCGGCGGCGGTGACTCATGTGCAGGGCTGGGAGAGGAGACGCGAGGGAACCGCATGGCTTCGGGCTCGTGGGCCGAGGTGGAGGTGGAGCTGGAGGACACGGGCGACGGTGAGCGGCGGTGGCGCCCGTGCGGTCATCTATCTTGGGCGGCCGATGCCAGAGGCATGGACGGTGACTAGGGAATGTTAAGTAGCTCACCTGGCATACAGGATATCATGGCTTCGATCCCGACACCGACGCCACCTGTTTATTTGGAGTTTGCATGTCTCTCCCTGTGGCTGCATGGATTTTTCTCTGGGTCCTCTGGTTTTTCCCTCCACATTTATAAACGTGCATTTCGAGTATTTGCTATAAATTTCCACATGAGCTACTTCGTTGAGATATTGTTTGTCATAGCCAGGTCGCTTCTGAAAAAGAGCTATTTCGCAGATCAGTGGGCCTTACCTGGTAAAATAAACATAGTTTAAATATCAATAGTAGGGGTGGGATGGAATGACGGCAAACGCTGTGCGGTGGAACGCGGGGAGACGGCGGAGAGATGTGCAGTGCGGGTGTCATCGTGTGACGTCGCTGTGCATGTGACGTCGCTGTGCGTGTGACATTGCTGTGTGTGACGTCGCTGTGACTTCGTTGTGCATGTGACGTCGCTGTGCGTGTGACATTGCTGTGTGTGACGTCGCTGTGACATCGTTGTGCATGTGACGTCGCCGTGCGTGTAACATCATGTGTCTTCGCTGTGAAGTGTGACGTCGCTGTGCGTGTGTCGTTCAGGGCGGAGTTGGGCACCCACGCTCCAGTTCCACTACGTTTCACCTGCGTCTTCATCTCAGGAGGTGAGCAGGACTGTTGCTATGTTTGATTCTTTACCTACAGGCATTCCTCTACTTACGAACGCCCGATTTATGAACGCCCGTACTACCGAGCCAACTTCCATGAAATAGAATAGAAATAACATTGACTTACAATGCATACTAGCCATTGCAAACTGAACTGCAAAACTATTTTGTTCAAAGGAGCGTTCCTCCATGAGATGTAATGAGTCAGCCTCACGCTGGGAGTGTTTGCGTGTGTGTGCACGCGGACGTTCGTTTCTCAGTCCGCTTGTCCTGGTGAGGATCACGGTGGCAGAAAATTGAGTAGGGTGGTCCAGACCTCCCTTTCCAATGGCGACAGACTCTAGCTCTTCCTAGGAAATTCCCAGGCATTCCCAGGCCAGCTGAGCGACATAGTCCCGCCAGCGTGTCTTGGGTCAGCCCCTGGATCTTCACCCAGTGGAATGTGCTCGGGAGAGTTCCAGGGGGAGTTTATCGGGGGGCATCCTTACTAGGCAACCAAACCACGTAAAACTGGCTCCTCTTGATCCGGAGGAGCAGCGACTCGACTCTGAGGCTCTCCCGGATTACTGAGCTCCTCACCCAATCACGGAGAGTGAGCCCGGCAACCCTGCGGAGAAACCTTATTTTTCCCCTTCTACCCACAATCTCATCCTTTCGGTCATGACCATAGGGTGAGGGTGGGAATGTAGATCAACCTGTAAACTAAGAGCTTTCTTCGAGTACTCAGCTCCTGCATCACTACCACGGAACGGTACAGTACCCGCCGTAGGAGGACACCGTACCGATCCGCCGGCCGATCTCCCGCTCCCACTTACCATCATTGGAAAGACGTGATAAACCATTTCGGTTCTTGATTGATTGTATATTACGGTGACTTTCAGACCGCAGTCCATTCGCTGGCACTGCCTCTTAGTACCTTTCACACGACGGTCAATGGTATGGTTTATAGCATATTGTATAATAATAAATAGCATAACAGTGTAATGTTTAACATAATTCATAAGGCAATATATAGTATCGTAATTGTATAGTGAATATACAGCAGTGTGGTATACAGTAGGGTTGGTAGAATAATACAGTGTAATATTACAAGTCTAATATTTTTATAGTCTAAAGTATAGGGTAGTGTATAGTAACGCATTGTATAATACATTGGTGGGGCTTGTCTATGGCAGTGTATATTACGGTGTATAGTCGTGTAATGTAGAAAATAAGTTTCGTTGGAGGCATATCAATATAATGCATAATGTTAGAGCTTACAGTGGGCTGTGTATACGATATTATACAATTTAGTTTAGATTGGAAGGTATAACATTGCAATGTATACTAGTCTAGTTTATAACATAGTTGTAACGCAACACAGGACAGAGCAGCGCATCGTGGCTGTTTCTCCCCCCTCCTCCGTTCCGAGCATAGATGGACTCGTCCGTCTGAACAAAGCGCGTCGCTTTCCGTGGCGCTAACGTTGAGGAAAAAAGAAACCGCCACTTTTTTCGACATAGAATTGTAATGTATAATGACTTTATTGTTAGTAGCTCAGCTGATTGGAGAGTATATTGAGTTTATTGATAATATTGATGTAGTATATATATTTTAGTTTTTTAACAGTTTACTATATGGTATTATATAGTGTAGTGTATACCCAGTTACTTTATGTTAATAGCTCAGCTTATTGGAGAATATATTGAGTACATTGATTATATTGATGTAGTTTATATTTAGTTCTTTCACATCGGTTTATTGTATGATAGTTGGGTAGTTGCAGTTATTTAGCGTCAATATACTAAATACCTCTGTTGATATGTAAACTCTGACTTTAACATAGCTACTTCCGTGACCAGTTACATGCTAATCCCTCACACTAACATCATGCTAATCTCCCAGTTACATGCTAATTTCTGACTTTTAACATCCTGCTAATCTATCACATTAACACAGCTACTTCAATGCTAAATAATTCTGTTGATATGTAAACACCTTTGTCAAGGCGCTCTGCTCCTCCCACCCAGCTTAAAATACGCTGCTAAGCTTAGCAGTGTTCATTAAGACGCTGTCTTCCCGACAGTTCTGTTTCTTCACCTGAGGAAGCATACTTGTGTTGTGGCCGAAACGTCATGAGAATTTTATTTTATTACGTTGTATTTTTATTATGTTATTATTTCCCTTCTACGTGACTTTACCGAAAGAACCAAGAAGAAGATTCTCGACCATGGTTCGCATCAATTGAGAGTGATTACCGCACCTGAATGTGGACCGCCCCTGTGTCAACTCAGCCTTGATTGAGTGCAGAGTGAGGTGTTTAAAGCATTGCCATTTGGTGGCTAGATGTTTACCACCACGCCTGGTATGCAGGAGGTTGTGGGTTTGTTCCCGACCCTGACGCCTATATATGCAATGCTTTGTTGCTCGGGGTTCCAACCAAAGTCTTGGGCCTACTGCAGCTGGTCCAGAACGTGACTGCCAGGATGTTCACGCAAACTGCTTTCCGTGAGCACATTTTTACCACTATAATAAAATATCTGCATTGACTTACAATTAAATTTAGGGTCCAATTTAGAGTGTTGCTACTAACATACAAGGCCTCAAATGGCCTTGCACTATTTTACATTCAACAGCTGATTCACTTGCATGTATCATCACGACATCTCTCATCCACTAATTTACATCTGCTCCATGTGCTGAGCATTTCCATGCACTGCCCAAAGACTATGGAACACCCTGCCACCTGTAGTGAGACAGGCGAGGTCACTCACCTTGTTTACATCTGCTCTAAACACTCACTTGTTTCGCCTGGCCTACACTTTCCATGTGTGATCAATTCTGGCTGTCGCCTGATGAAGCTGGATTTCAAATCTCGCTGTCGCCTGATGAATCTAGTTGTAATTACTGGCGAAACGTCGTACTCAGTTTGTAAATGTTGAGGCTTGGCTCTCCCAACACACCGGTGTAGTGCTGTACTCGTGACAAATTGGCCACGTTCTGTTGACGTGACAACTCTTACTAGTCGGCTGTGTCGGGTGGTGGAGGGTTTTAACGACACATTTATATTTTTAAGCAATCTAACCCAAAAGGCCTATATTATGGGTTTAAATGTATGTGAATTTGGGTGATTTGTTCACCTCTCTTGTACTTTGCACGACTATCGTTTTTTGAAATTGTGTCGTAACGTTCTGACCCAGTGCCACTACTAGACATCTGTGAAAAAGAGCTTTATAGTTCATCAGGTTCCTCTTGCAGTATAAATACTGATTCTGATACGTGTGTATATATCTTATTTCTTGCGTGCAGAAATTATTGCCTGAAGGCAGCCTGTTTTGGAGGCATCTGTTCATCAACTCTTGTCAAAAGCATTTGAGGATATGCCTTCCTTCAGCTTTGTGCATTGAGCACAGGATATAGGTCAGACATTTAGCTCTTGGGGATCTGTTTTGGGTTTGCAATACATTTGGGATCGCAGCGAACGGTCATGCAGCACTTGAAAAACATGTGCGGCCATGAGAGTGCAAACTATCCCGTGTGGATGAGGAATTTGTTGGAAAGAAGATCTTTGGCTCACAGCCTTGTTATGTTTAAGTTGATGTAATTTCCTTGTTTATTTGTTACTGCTGCAATCATGGTCGTCACGATGGCCACTCTCATCATCATCCTCATCATTGTCTCCTTGTTGATCTGCTCTCGCTACTAACGTAGCAGGTTCCAGGACATGTAACAATGCTTAATGTTGATTCCTGCAGTTGTGATAACTTTCATTAAGTCGTCATGTATGAATTGATAAACTTCTATTTGTACATGTCGTATGTAATTGGTCCATGATACATGAAGTTGTCATGCAGTGCATGTGCTACAGGCTGTCTGATATTGATGAGTAATTCGTTGTTAAAGATGATCTTAGGCTTGCAGCCTTGCATGGTTCAAGTTACTTAATGGCCTCCATTGTGCTATTCAGAGGTGTGTGCCGCTGTGAGTTTTTATTTGTCACGTGCAGTTGTGATTCTCAATGTAAGAGGTTGTGGGACTTCCTCAGGGTTTGAATTAATTACCCCCCCCCCCCACCCAACCTCCCCCTCCGGACTGGCCGTGCCAGCGAGGATCCAGGCTGGCAATGCGGCGCCTAGTGAAGAAGGTGCGGGGCCCCCGGGTGACGCGGTTCTCCCCACGCGAGATGCTCACCCTGGCGCAAGAAGCGGCCCGCCGCGTGGGGCCCCTCTACGGCCATGGTGGCGCCCTCGCCAACGCGGCCACCCGTCGCCGGGCCTGGGCCGAGATCGCCCACGCAGTGCGGGCGCACAGCATCTTCCCCCGCACGCGGGACCAGTGCCGGCGCCGTTGGGACGACCTTCGGCGGTGGGCCAAGAGGAAGGCCCTGCGGGCAGCCGGCAGCGCTGAGCTAACGGGGATCAAGCGGCTGCCAGTTGGAGTTGTGCTCACCCGACCAGAGGAGCTCGCCCTCGGCACCTTCCCCGAGCTGTCCATGGAGGGGCTCGCCGTCTGGGACGTGGGGTGGTCTGCACGGAGCTCCGTCGACCGCGGCAATGGGGCAGAGCCGCCTGCTATGGTGGCAGCAGGGGCCGACTCGTGGCCGGACGAAAAGGCTGTCGACCTCCTGGTATTGGGCCCCGTGGCACCGCTGGTGGGCGGCCCGCTGCATTACGCGGCGGCGAAGTCGACGGAAGAGGGAGCAGACGAGTCGTCATCTATCCCCGATGTGGAGCGGCGTGATAATGTAGAGGAGGAGGAGGAAGATGAGGAAGAGGAGGAGCGGCAGGAGGAGCTGGCGGAAAGTTCGGATGAGGCATGGGCGGCGAGAGGCTCCTCCTCTCCGCCCAACGTTGTGGGAGGACGCCCCCTCGCCCCCATCTCCAGCACGGAGAAGTCGTCCGTGCTGCCCTGCCCATCCCCTGCCACCGTTTTTCCTCCACGGTTCCCCCCCCGTGTGTCCCACAGGGGCGCGCATGCAGGGGCCCCTCCCCCACCCCCGGCCCCGCCCCCGGCCCCGGCCCCGGCCCCTCGCATCGCCGTGACCACGCGTGAGCGTGACGCGACCGCGCATGACGCGACCGCGCGTGAGTGTGACGCGACCGCGCGTGAGCTCGGGCGACCCGTGGGCGAGCTGCTGTCGCGACTGGATGCACTGGCCGAGACGCAGCAGGAGCTCGTGGTCCAGGGCCTCGAGCACCTACGCCTGCTGAGGGAGCAGGCCGAGAGCCAGCGGCACGCCGAGCGCCACCTGGGCTCCATCGCCGCTGCCCTGCAGGAGCTGGCAGCGATGAAGCGAACGGGGGAGCCGCTACAACGGCCACCCGGTGGAGGTGCTGGCACCAGAGACTCCGGCCCCAGAGACTCTGGCCCCGGGCCCCTGGGAGGGCGAAGCCGGAACTGGAACAGGGCCCGTGGACGGGACCGGGACAACCGCAGGAAAACAGGAGCTGGTTTTACCCTGAGGACCCGGCAGAGCCATCCTGGACCCTGACTCCAACCTCCACTTCATGTTTTATTCAACTTGTCTAATGCCAAGTAATTTGTTGTGTCTCCAACAGGGAGAGGCTGCTGCGAGTTGTGTCAGAGTCTCTATGAGCATCCTTAACTGCGACCCCACCTGGTACAATTTTCAACGACGGCTTGATGTCATCTAGCTGTGCCTACCATGAACATAGCGATAAAGTGCTTTATATAAAAATCTAGGAATCGCAAGCTATTTTTTTAAGTTGTGTGTGTTGACATGTATGTATGGACGTTGAACTTCTTTCGCCAACCATGCTAATTGGAGGTGTGGGTGAAGAACAAACTAAAAACAAAATGCAGTTGTAAAGAAATTAGTTTTCAATCTAGATGATTTTAAAGTGCATAGCTCCAGTGGCTTCCTAATATTGGAAGGAAGAGCGTTCCAGGTGACTGCAGAAGCGCATATAAAAGCGGCCGATGCGGTGACCATCTTTGTTAAATGGCTAGCCGTAAGCTACTGCTGGGAGGCTGACTGGAGTGTGTAATGGTTTATGCTCCTTGACGAGATCAGCAAGGTATTGTGATTAATTTATGGCAAGCACTTGATGTGTAATGACTGCGACCTTATAACGTCTTCGTTCGGCAACCGGAAACCCAATGCAGCTCAGTGAGCACGTGAACATTTCAACGGTATTTCACATATCCGTATTTACCTGATTGAGATGTAGAAGCCTTGAATATGATTGGCTTGCTAAAGCATTATGTGGCTTGCTAAAGCAAGCCACATAATTGTTGACTCCAGAAAAGCTTTCACTTTAGAGTCCATCTGAGGTTGGAGTTATTTTGGGATGGAGCTTCTGGTTGATGTCTGGCTCTTCTACCTGCATGATGTCTGCATGAATCACTGCAGCATTGATTTAATTTCCTTGTTTCTCTGTTACTGGACCTGTCATAGTTGCCCCAACAGCCACTTTCATCATCATCAATCTCTTCTTGTCGCTCTGCTCATGTAGCACATTACTGGACATATGAGAATGCATAACGTCGAGTCCGACATATGTGATGATATCTGTTGAGTCGTTCACGAAGCAATTACATACATTTTTATTTAATTGCTTCATGTAAAGCTGGCGACCATTAGGAGGTTCTGCAAAAGCAAGGATTCTCAAACGTAATCATCGCAAACCTGTATGGCTACATGGTTAGTTGTGAGAACGGCCACTCGATCATCCAGCTACCTCTCCTGCTTGTCTCAGCTGTTGATATTGCCACGACTGTTGCATTCAAAAGCAATCTGGCTTGACTCCACTTCCAATATCTTGGATGTGTTCTATATGCCTGGCCGCTTGATTATCCACTCTTGATTAGTGGACTGAGGTCATCTAACTTGGGTCACTACTTGGTTTAAAACCAAGGTCTCAATGGTGCTGACTAGGTGAGTTGATCCGGTGATACGAACCCATTAAGTTACCTAGCTACATATCGCGTGTGTTTTTAATAAATATATTTTTTATATATGGTTAATTTGGTCACGGTTTTTTTGTTGTGACTAGATTATAATTAACTCTCACAAAGGTCCAATGGATTAATGCACCAACTATTCACCATTGCCGTTAAAGAGAATATGGCTTGGATTTGTGACGCATCTACATGTAAAATGTATGTATGGTGAACCTTTTTTGCACTGTATGTAGAAAACTGCTTATCCGAGGTGCGGACGAGGGACAACAGCCTACGTAAAAAGCAGTCCTAAATAACTGAGTTTTCAATGCAGATTTAAAGTGCACAGTTCTAGTGAGCTTCTAATGTCAGAAGGGAGATTGTGCCAGACAGTTGCAGAGGCACAGCTAAAAGCATGCAAATACCATGACCATCTTCATTTGGTGCATAGCTAAACGCCACTGTAAGGACAACCAGCGTTCGTGCGTTGGTCTATGGCCCTTGACAAGCTCCGAACGTTATTGTGGTTCGTTTTCAGGGAGCACTTTGTGTGTAATAAGCACGACCTTGTAATGTAGTCATTGAGCAACCGAGAGCCAATGAAACCGCTACGGTTGGATCTTGCAGTACCCATGCCAATTCGTTTTGTACATCATTCCCTCGTTATCCACGAAGGATACGTTCCGGAGATCAAAATGGTTTGTTTGATCAGAAACTTTATTTATACTGCAGGAGAAATCCGATGAGCTATGAAACTCTTTATCACAGATGTTCAATCGAGGCGGGGCAAACAAACAATACGAAACATAATCGGAGTGCAAAGTATAGGAAACGTAAGCATATCACTGAAACAATATTTATATTTGTTTATTTTGCAAGGTAAAGCCCACTGAGCTATTAGCTTATTTTTCATTCACGACTTGGCAACAAATGATAGCTCTACGAAGTGGCTCATGTGGAAATGTATAGCAGCCAAATAATCTAAACACATTTCTAAATGTGGAGGTAAAACCCAGAGGGCCCAAAGAAAAAAAATCCACCCGACCACAGGGAGAACATGCAAACTCAATATACACACAGATATATGTATCTATATATAGCAGCAGGCGTCAGGGTCTGGATCGACCCCCCGGCCTCCTGTATACCAGGCGAGAAAGATAACGTGACACCACCGTGGGGCCCTTAAGTACGTAAAAAAATTAAGTATATGAGTTCAAATTGCATAAGTACATAAATTCCCAAGTTTTAAAAAAGCAGTAAAACAGCAAAAACTGTCCCAGACCATACCAAGACAATACACAGTCCCTCAATAAAATTGTATAAATGTAACTCGATGCATTGTTAAGAATTACAAATCACATTTGAAAAGTGACTATCAAGCACTAATCTGCCTTAGCATTTTTTTTTTAAATAAAGGTTTATGATGTTAAGGGAGGAAACAAGGTTGTTCCAAAACGTTGGTGTTGCAATGGCAAAGACTTTGGCACCTGTTCCAATTCTTGTTCTAGGGATAGTTAAGAGGCAATCAGATGGATGCCAGGTTTATTTGGTTTGGCAATGGGGTTAATGAATCCATTAGTATAGTATATATTTCCCAATAAGGAGTTTATGGATGAACAGGGCCCAATGTAGATTTCTTATTGAATCAAGTAATGTGAGATTAGATTTTAAGTATCGGTTACAATGGTGGGTCTGTATGGTACCATCCTGTGCAAATCGAAGAGCAAAATTACAAAGTGGATTTAGTCTGTTTAGTGATTCATTAGGAACTTATCTGTAAGCATCATCACCGTGGTGGTAGAATGATAGCTTCAACAATTTGCAGGCGTAATCGATTCGGAAAACAATGTTTCTATATGAAACCCAATTTTTGATTTGATTTTTTTTTAGTTGGAATGTGAGTTTTTAATCCATCAGTAAACCCAAATGTTTGAAGCACTCCGTTTGTACTATGATGTTGTTTCTGATATCCGTAATAGGTGAAGAGAATTCAATTATATTTTTGTTTAAGGAAAAGACCATGATCTTCGTTTTTTTAGGCTTTAGGATAAATATTAGTGATGACAATTGGTGTTGTTTCAAATCGAAATGGAGATTTACCTGATACGAGCATGACAGTGTCATCAGCAAACATGTAATTCTGAGTGATTTAAGTTTAGTCCAATATTGTTTAAAAATAATTAGAACAAAATTTGAACCAGCACGGAACCTTGGTTATTTTAATATTTGTGGACGAGATGTTATCAATGTGTACCTTTTGAGAACGATCTGAGAGGTATCTCTTAAACCACTTTATTGTAGTCTGAAAATGTTGTTGGACAAAGTCGTGTACGTAGAACCTTATGGTCAACAGTGTCAAAGGCTTTTGGCAAATCGAGGAATAGTAGACAGCAGTAGTGGCCTTTATCCAGGTTACTGAAGAAAAAATTGTATAGATCCACCATTGCTGTAGTGGTATAGTAATCCTCTTGAAAATCAGACTGTTTACTGTGAAGGAGATTGTGAGTTTTTAGGTAGCAGTTTGTCATTTAAGTATTTTTCTATTTTAGTAACTGGTGAGAGAATAGAGATTGGTCTTTAACATATAGTCTTCTTTGGAAACATTTTTATATACTGGACGAATAAGAGTGGATTTCCATTATATCGGAAATGTACCTTCACTGAGAGGTTGAACATGTGTGAGGGGTTTATACATCTGCCACAGCCACGAATGCAGGTAACTCATCTTCTCCCGTGGATGATGGTGTATTCATTGATGGTAATTTATGCAATAAATCCAGTTCAGATATGGGACTAAACGAGACGTGCGGACGATGACTTTCACTCGCATTTTGAGCTTTCCTCTGTTTTCAACTGAGCTGAAAGTCTTGGGATTTTTTTTGTGAGTTTAGAATAGATTGGTGGTCGTAAGAAAATGTAGCATTTCTTACTTGGGAAATACATATATTTCTCATTGTTCGATAATTTAGCGACTCATTAAGCTCATTTGATGTATTTGCGTTATTCATGGCGATATATGTAGTTGAAATGTTCGGATCAAACCAAGGTAGACGATCAGCCTTTATTCTGAACCTTTTTTAAGACGGCATGTTTGTTAGTTTTTTTAGGAATTGGTTCTCAAAATGTGTACAAGCACATTCAAAATCTGGGATGTTGCACACCGTATCCCAGCCAGCTTGAAGAGTGTCATATATAAATGATAGGTCAATTTGTTTAAAGACCATTTTACAATGATTATATGAGGTGTTTTCTTTTTTTATGACGAATACCAAATATAATGGCAGTCACTGAGATGGTTATCTAAGGCTCCCACTTATTAAAATGCACTGGGTGAATTTGTAAGTAGGATATCAAGTATGGACAAACGATCTGAGGTTTTTAGATTGGGTCTAGTGGTTGAAGTAATCAACTGATTTTGATTGTACTCGTTTTTTTAAACTCGAATGCATCATGTAGTAGGTTTAGCCAGTTCAAATTGAAGTCCCCTATGATCAATAGCTCACATTTTGGAATGGGTGAGATAATTTTATCCAGGGATTAATTCGATATTTTGCTGTTTGGTGGTCTACAGCAACACAAACTCTTCCTCAGGGGTCCGGAATCTAGTCCCAAGCCAGGATAAAATAAGTCATATTTTTTAATACTTTTTTTAAAAACATGCTTTAATGAAATGTATCGTACTCGTAATGGCAAAACTCCAGGAAGTGGCCCCGAAGCTTGCCATAACGGAAGGGACCGTGGTGATTTACAGCCAACGTCAGTTGAGCGTGGACAATTAGACCCAAGCCGAAACATAACATATAAAAAAGCTGTCTCGGGTGTGGACCAATCAAATTCAAGAACAGTGCATATCATTATCAGAGTTGTCTCTTTTTGTTTGCATTTTTGACTGTGTTGTGGTTATTGCAAACATGATCCCTTGTGTAAAGGTGTCAGTTTTTGTGCCATATAAAAAGGGTAAAAACCTATTACTTTAAAACATATTTTTTTTCTTTTTAATGATAGAATATAGTATTGTCATCAGTATGACATAAGTTTACCAAGTTTGCAGTCGATAGTACATTTGGAAGTGGGTTCAAATTGAGTTACAAGATTTGAGGATACGACAACAGAGTGAGTTAATAGAAAGCGTGTAAAAAGAATGTTTACAAATATATTTTTTATGATAGAATATAGTATTGTCATCAGTAAGACATAAGTATGCGAAGTTTGCAGTCGATACCACATGGGGAAGTGGGTTAAAATTGAGTTACAAGATTTGAGGATACGACAACAGACAGTTAAATAAAATCGTGTAATAATAGTAAAAAGGATAAGGGTCGGCGAAAGGGTGCCATCAAGAAACATAGCTGCCAAATTCCAAAGCAACAAAGAGGCTGAGAATGGCAAATGAAGAGATCGCAGTATGGACATGGAATGTGAGAACAAAATGGAAAGATACAGGTACGACATCCTAGGACTGGCAGAAACGAGATGGCCAGGAATGGGGGAGAATAATGGGGGTGAAGTGATCTGGTCAGAGGAAGAAAAAGTGCATACCAAAGCAATCGGATTCTTCTTGAGCGCAAAAGCCAAAGTGTCATTATCGGGACACAGACTGATTAGTCCAAGAGCAATTGTAGTGAGATTTAATGGACAACCCCAAAATGGCTGTCATCCCAATATATACACCAACATCAGATAGCACAGAAGATGTTATTGAATAGTTCTATGAAACGCTGGAAAGCACGTTAAAGGAACTGCCTGGGAAAGATGAAGATTGCTGTGGGAAACTAGAATGCAAAATCTGAGAAGGGTAACACCGGATGGGAATGCATCATGCGAAGGTACGGATATGGAGAATGAAATTAAAGAGGTGAGAAACTGCTTGAAATCGCTTAACGTGATGTGCTAACATGTTCTACTAAGTAAATGGACATGGACGGCACCGGATCTAAACATACGAATATGATAGATCTAGTAATTATCTAGAGACGCTAGAAAACATCAGTTCGATTATTCAAAACATTCCAAGCAGCCAATGTGTCATCAGACCACAGCTCGGTACGATGCAACCCGTGACTAAAACTAAAATCTATATCCTTAATGCAATATGAGAAGAAGAGCAACAGAGAGAGGGACTCGAGAACGCGGAGACAAGAAGGAAATATGAAGAGGAAATAGCAAGTAAAATCAGGGGGGCAAAAATAGATCCCCTTAGTATAGACAGCAAGGCATTAGCACGAAAGAAGATAGTGGAGCGAGCAGTATAAGCAACAATACCCTTAGTATTACAACCACAAAAAGAATAATTGAAAAGTCCATATTATTTGGGTATTTCGGTAAAGTCACGTAGACAGACTTTACCGAAATACCCAAAGAATATGAATTCCTGCAGTCATGAAAGCTTTAAGCCAAGATTTTATTGAAAAGTCGCACAGGAAAGAGAAAAATAAAGATAAAGGAATCGGATGAGATGGCGACTAAGTACAAAAAACCTATGCAATGGGGTAAGAGCATTGGCTAGAAAGGATACGTATAAATGGCTAGAAGAGTAACGTAGCGACGTTGAATACTACGCTGGAGAATACAAGACCAAGGAGGTGTACAAACTAGTCGAGCACAAAAAGGAAATTGCAACCAAGGCAAACGGCGATAAAAGGCAAGAATGGAAAGATCTTGATGGACAAAGAAAAAAGATTAAAAAAAAGAGATGGACTTGAGTGTTGCAGCGATTTGTACAGGGATACAGATCAAGAGAACAAAAACTGCGAGATGAACTATAATCGATGCCCCCACCACTGAGAGATGATGAAAATGATAACATTGTATGAAGCAGAAAAAGCAATACAACATTTTAAAAATAAAAAGTCCAGAAGTGGATGCCATCAGCGGAAAAATTATAGAATATTGTAGACTGGAGGGAAATAATTAACAATATGGGAGGTGCCACTGTTTAAAAAAAGTATAGGGGGTGTTGTGTGTGATGACTGACGTGACTGTGCACCTCAGGTCCCATGCCCTCATAAAGAAGACAACGACGATGATACAGTTGGCGCAGATCAGCGGTGAGGCGATGGTGGCTCGTGGGGCAAGGGCCCAGGTGTGGACGCATTCAGTAAGCAGCTGGGATGGTTCCTCGCCAGATGTCATGGAGCTGAATAGACAGGCGTCTATGGGAGATTGGAGAGAACAGTCTAGTGATGACCTTTATATGCCACTTGATTATACGTTCACCCTTGAACGTGCATGTCTCATGTTAAGTCCGTGAACTTTATTCAGAACTAAATCTTTTATGGCGCGCCAAATATATGCAACATGTTGCATAATTCGTGGTTGCTGGGTAAACAATCTGCATGCTCTATTTGTGTGCATTGCAGCGTGGAGCGGCTCCACTCCCAAGTGTGGTCTTGCCATGATGTAAAAGCTGACAGAGTGGAAGAGATCGATTGCAGATGATTCTCATAGAGATGACACCATGCACACCACTTACGGATATGTGAAGAGGTAGCACAAAGTTACTGGGAGGGAGCAGGAGGTGCACCCCCCACAAAAGCACACTATTAGAAGATAAACTCACAACGTCACTTTTTTTTTACCAGTTTTAGTGGATAAGTTCTCAAACCTCATCAAGTGTGTCTCGGGTTTCAAACCCTCGGACGAACACAATGGCGCTTATGAAGTTGGCGCAGATCAACAGCAAGGTGATGGTGGCGAGCAAGGCAAGGGCCAAGGTGTGGACGCATCCATTAAGCAGCTGGGATGGTGCCTCGCCATATGTCGTGGAGCTGGGTAGACAGGCGTCTACGGGAGAATAAGAAAAAAATCAGAAGATCTTATTTTGTTGAAGCAAGCATAGGCTTTAGCCTTTCAAGCAGGAGTCATTCTATTTTCTTGTAGCAGGCACTGAGGATGGGAATCAAGTGGCAGCTATTCTGCATCTGATGCGTACTTGCCAGATTTAAGGATGGCTTTAGTTTTCAAAGCTTTCGTGACTGCAGGAATTTCTCTTCTACGTAAAGTCACGTAGAAAGAAAGAAAATTAAATAATAATAGAATACGACGTTTCGATGAGAACACAAGCCATCGTCATCAGGTACGAATGAATGAGAAAACAAACCTAGTAAACTTAGAAATATACAAACAAAACACAGACATGGATACACACATAGACACACAAGCAGAGAGAGACTCACAAAAAGACAGAGAAAGACACACATAGGCACATAGAAACAACGCCTATGTTTGTCTCTGTGTGAGTCTCTGCTTGTGTGTCTATGTGTCTCCGTGTCTATGTTTTCTCTCTCTCTCAAATTTAGCAATCTTTGGAAGAACGCAATCAACCAGGTAGGGTGTTGACTGTTATGTTAGGCCCCTCTCTGTGTTGTATTGCATTATAGTTCTAAGCTTACTAGGTTTGTTTTCTCTTTCATTTGTACCTGATGACGATTGCTTGTGTTGCAATCGAAACGGCGTATTCTATTATTATTTTATTTTATTTATTTCTACTTGACTTTACCGAAAGAACCAAAGATTGATGGCTCCACGCCTGCGGATTGGGTGTCCGTGAGAAAAGTGGCTAGCCATTTTTATGCTCGTGGTCCCAAGCTCTTGATGAATTGCAGATAAATCCCAATGGAGACCTGTGGGCTTCCTGCATTTCATCTGGACAATACCACCGTCTGCTTCCTCCATTGAGAAAGGACCATGGAATGTGGACTTTGTTGGGCAGCAGTAGAGAGTGCGTGAGAGTGTTTTTGTAAACATGTATTATATTATTTGGGTCTTTCGGTAAAGTCATGCAGATAGCTTCAAAGAAAATAATAAAAAACTACTACGTTTCGATCGCTTAAAGTCAAGATGATGTATTATGTTTTTTGTCGATCAGCAACGTCGTTAGGGTGGACTTGGGGAGGTTTGTAAGCTAGTGTCGCCGTTTCTCCCAGTAGCCTTAGGAGGTACCAGACTTGTCTGCTCTCATTTTGATTCTAGTGCCTCGACTGTTTCACACCACCTTTGTCGTCTTGCCAAGTCCAGTGGCTTAAGCACTCGTTTGCGGTCCCCTGTTTCTGATCAGCATTGAATTGTCGAAAGGTTGTTCACTTTATGAAGACCATCGGGTTTGAAGGCTTTTCTAAAGCCTTTTGCGATGTTTTCCCTTTCAGCTGACTTGAACGTTCAACTGGCTTTTGCGTTATAGAGCACGTGCTTGTCTTATGCTGCTGTGCATAATGTCAGTTGTTCACCTCTTTGATCATTGACATTATAGCCCCACAGGGTGTGGTGGCGATTAAAGTTTCCAATGTGAATGGTAGGGTGGCACCGACGGTGCTAGTGCTGGACATGACCACTCCATAAAGGCGTGTAGACATTTTGACCACTGTTAAGTCATTGATTTTGGATGGCGATGTCGTGGGGCGAGTTGTTCCGCATGACCTGTACTGAGTGGTTCAAGTCAGTCGTGACAAAGGTCATATTTCGGATGGTGGCTTGCAGAAACGAGGGTACATTTTACCAGCACCGGGGCATGGATATGAATAGCCTATGAATACAGTCACATCTCAAGACGCTAAATAGCTGTGGAGGATACGCAAAGACGATCCACAAGACTCTACTTCCAGTCAGTTGTAATGACAGCACACACCATGCAACACGCAGCATCCATTTCACTTTTCTCACCTTCCACCGTTCACAAGTAATACCACAGACACCATTCTTCAGCCCGTACATTTCCCTGATAGGTGGATCAGTACCAATACTCACTTATCAAAAATATGGTCAGACCATCGAGTAGCTTGGGGCCATCAGAATGATGGAGCTCATACTCATCTGAATTTTAACAGAAAGGTCATATTTCAGTATTGTAAAAAAAAAACATTTTAAACCCCTGACCTTACCTTGTATCACCAAATCGGTTCCTTCCATGATCTCAAACGGAATTTCCTGCGACTCCATGTGTAATATTATTCGGCAGGAGTATGTATTCTGGTCGCTGTGCCTCACGCCATTGATCTGTAACGAAGCCTCGTGTTTGTCAGGATTTCCCACCAGGGTCAGGCGGTTCGTGAAGAGCTCGTGGACATGGGTCTGGTTGTCCGTCCTTTCGAAGATAGACTCCCTGATAAATTTTCCAATTCTCCATATGACACTGATGCTGCTCGGCTTCTCGGATTCGGGGAAGGCGAATCTGCAGGGAAGAGTGGTGGAGCCTCCCTCTACAGCCTCCACAGCCCTCTCTACGCATACCTCGTAGCTGTTCAAGCTGCTGCAGATCTCCCCAATTCCAGCATCTGCGGGTAACAGGGAGGAAGGTGGAATTAACACGGCCACGGGTTGTGTGGTAGAGAGCAGCATCTGCACCAGCACAGGTGACTCAAGCCTCTGCACAGCCTCACGTGACTGGATAGTCAGAATCAGAATATGTATTTAGACTTGAAGAATCCGATGAGTTAATAAGCTCTTTTTCATAGATGTTCAGAGGAAGTGGAAAAATATACATTCGGTGGTCTTGGCAGGTGCGTCGTAATGATGTCATAAGGAGCGCCGCAGTGGAGAGATGTTAATTACCTCGCCTAGTATACAGGAGGTCGTGGGTTCGATCCCGATCCAGAACCTGACGCCTGCTTTATATTTAAGGCCACGTGAAATGTTGAAGGCGCGCTGACAGGAGGTCACAGGACAGATCCGGATGCCATAGATTGTGCTAACTTGCAGTGTTTTAGCCACCTGGCACTCCGTTCATTGTTGTGAGCGTCGCTCCTCTGCCCTCCGTTGCTGGAGGCCGACTTTCTGCAATTACCTAGTAGCGTCCTTCACGAGCCTCCTCCACAGAGGCCAATCATTAACAAGTCTACTCAATTCCATATCTCTTGCACCACACCAATCCATTTCTTCTCTCGCCCATGCCACGCTCATTTAGCCTCCTTTATCCGGCAAAACAAAAGCTGTTTGGGCATGCAGGCTACATGACCCAGCCAACACAGCTTTACTTGCCAGAGGAGCTCACCGAATGGATTGTTACACCGAGGATAGATCGTAGACAGGACAGCCTGAATGTTTATATCTGACGCAGATGTTCCATTAGTGGGTACATGGTTGGCAAGCATAGAGAAGAAAGGGCATGATCGTGGCAGAGAAGACCTGAAGCTTTGTGTGGAGTGCCATAACAGGTAGCTTTATGCAGCATTACACAGCCAATTAAAATATAATGCTGCTCGACTGATTCGGAATGAGACCTGTGCAGTCAAACTGGAGCTGCCCGGGTATGGAAACCTCTCCATGCTTTCCACAACTGCCCCATCACTAATGGGGAGTTCAGGGGGTGGAGTGTTTGATGACACAAAATACGCAGGCAGGAGCTTAGTTTTGGTGGAGCTGATGGTAAGGCCCCACCTTCGTAACACGCTCCAGGGTAAACAGCAGAGCCTTCAACTCCTGCTGATTGCATTGTGCACACAAATTATCATGCAACCTTCAATGGACCACTGCTAATACCACGCAATCAATTCTTAAGCCTATACACCGACAACTGTTTTCTCACGGGTCTAGCAAACCCGATCCGTGGGTCGACACCAAGACCCAATGCTGCTATCCAGCTCAGAAACACGGCTCAGACTATACGGCTCCTTTGAAGACTAATCTGAATTCAATGGGTTTTCAATATTTCAGTATCGTAGAAATGTGTTCATCCTGGTTCTTACATTTTATCACAAAATCGGTCCTTCCATTATCTCAAAAGGAATGATCAAATAATCTGTTTTTATAGGTTTTCATGCCAGTTCTCACCTTGTATGATTAGATTGGTCCCTTTTGTGATTTCAAACGGCATTTCCTGTGACTCCGTGTGTAACATTATTCGACAGTAGTACGTATTTTGGTCGCTGCGCCTGACTTCCCTAATCTGTATCGAAGCCTCGCCTTTGTCAGGATTCCCCATCAGGGTCAGGCGGTTCGCGAAGAGCTCGTCGACAAAGGTCCGGTTGTCTGTATTCTCGAAGATGGAATGCCCGAGAAAGTTTCCAATTCTCCATATGACACTGATGCTGCTCGGCTTCTTAGATTCCGGGAACGCGAATCTGCAGGTAAGATTGGCTGAGCCTCCCTCCACAGCCTCCACAGCCTTCGCTACGCACAGCTGATATCCTTGAGAGTTGGTGCAGACCTCCCCAACTGCAGCATCTGTGGATGGCAGGAGCGTGGGATTGGCACAGCTGTGGGTTGTGTGGTAGTTAATCGAGCCAACACCGTCGTCTACTGCTCCACCAGCACGGGTGACTTCAGCCTCTGCGCAGTCACACACCACTATATACATTTTGCTAAGGCAGAGGCAGTGGAAATATCGATTTATATTTCGGATTGGCGCAAGTGTTTCTCATGACAAGTTTGCAGCATGAGAGCTTAATGGTTTGTATTTGCACAAAAGCCTGACGCCCATACACAGACACTTGTGACACTTCATTGACACAGCAACAGGCACTGGGCAAGTTAGACGCAGACACATTAGCATGCACACACACACATAGAGTGACACAGACACGTGTAGTTGACCTCAACCAGGTGGCTTAGCTGGAAGTGCTGTAGAGCAATTACGAGAGGTATATGGGAATGGCCTGCTGGAATGCGCTAAATTATGCCCATACAGCCTCTGAGTGCCAATTGTCATCACCAATTGCTGGGCTGTTGTGGCATCCTAAGTGAAGATTAGTCGGCTGCTTAAAAAAAAATATGCATGGTGGGACGCAGACCCGTATATGAACATAAGGTGAGACGTCAGATTGGTGTGATATTAAGCATGGGTGTTCATTAAGGATGTATTTATCACCTACGTTGTTTAATGGCCTGATTGCCTATGTATTTACGAATACCGTGAATGCAGTTAGCACATTAGTGAATCCAGAATCAATAGAGGAAAGATGAAAGTGCCGCAAATAAAGTATGCAGAAGATGCAGGTTTGTTGGCTAGGATCTTGACAGGAGCTGTGCAGATGTTGGACATCTTAGGTACCTCGGGTAGACACTGGGGCCTGAAGTTAACTTAACCCAACGTTAATGGCGGTAGTTATAAATGGGGCTCCTGTGCTAGGTTCGTAAGTCACAGTAGGGAAAGCGAAAGTTGATGTAATAGAAAACTTTGTGTACTTAGGCAGTAATGTCCACATGCGGGGGGCTGAGGTCGGGCTTATTAAGACTCATGGAAACCACTTTGGAAGAGAAGAAAGGTCAGTATGAATGAAGAGAAATGGGTGTTTGGGGCAGCAGCAACAACAACAGCAGCAGCAACAACAACAGCAGAAGCAATAGCAACAACAGTAGCAACAACAATAGCAATAGCAGCAACAGCAGCAACAACAGCAGCAGCAATAACAGCAGCAACAGCAGGAACGACAGGAGCAACAACAGCAGCAACAGCAGCAATAGCAGCAGCAACAACAACAGCAACAACAACAGCAACAACAACAACAGCAGCAGCAACAACAACAGCAACAACAGCAACAACAACAGCAGCAACAACAGCAGCAGCAACAACAACAGCAACAACGACAGCAACAGCAGCAACGACAGCAACACAAATAGCAGCAACAGCAGCAACAACAGCTGAAACAACAACAGAAGCAAAAGCAACAACACCATCTTCTTTGGTTCTTTCGGTAAAGTCACGTAGAATGAGAATAAAATAATAAATTGATAAAATAAAATAACACAATAATATTCTCACGACGTTTCGGCCACAACACAAGCGGCCTTCATCAGGTGAAGGGACGAGACTGTCTGGTAGGACAGCGCTGGAGTGAAAGAGCCACGTTCAGATCACGGCTTTTAAGCTGTGTGAGAGGAACAACGCGCCTTGACAAAGGAATTAGCATATAATTTAGCATTGAAATGGCTGAATGATTAGCTTGTGACTGGTCACAGAAATAGTTATGTTAAAAGTTAAAGCATACACATCCGCAGAGGCACCCCTTGACAGTCACAAGCTAATCATTCAGCCATTTCAATGCTAAATTATATGCTAATTCCTTTGTCAAGGCGCTTTGTTCCTCTCACACAGCTTAAAAGCCGTGATCTGAACGTGGCTCTTTCACTTCAGCGCTGTCCTACCAGACAGTCTCGTCCCTTCACCTGATGAAGGCCGCTTGTGTTGTGGCCGAAACGTCGTGAGAATATTATTGTGTTATTTTATTTTATCAATTTATTATTTTATTCTCATTCTACGTGACTTTACCGAAAGAACCAAAGAAGATGAATCATTGCAGTCACGAAAGCTTTAAATCGAAATTCAACAACACCATGTGAGACACGGCTCTAAGGAAAGCTGTCTCGGGTGTGAACCAATCAATTTCAAGGACAGTGCATATGTAGTGGAGTTGGAAGGTGCGTGGTGCAAACAGCGTGATTACATGATAACACAGACAGTACGGGTTATGTTGGGTCAGCCTGTAGCGAAGGCAAATACAGTGCAGGTTATGTTAGGGCAATTAAGCTGGGAGAGCCAAGGACGGCACTGATTGGTTGGTGTTGTTGCCGAGGCTGGAGGGGCGTCTTGAAGTCTGGCGAGCTAACAGGTGGACGGTCACGCGGAGTGCCGTTGGAACGCGGGTTAATTAATTGGGGGTGTAATGAGAGCGGGCATAAGAGCAGGGGTTGGAGTCAGCAGCGAGGGAGTTGGAGTTTGGAGAGCTTGGAGACGGAGAAGGTTGTTGAAGTTGGAGAGCTTGGAGTCAACAGCGGGAAATTGAAGTTGGAGTCAACAGCGGGGAATTGAAGTGTGGAGAGCTTGAAGACAGAGAGTTGGAGAGACAGAGTTGGAGAGACAGAGTTGGAGACGGAGCTTGAAAACAGTGTAGCGATAGCGGAGCTGAAGAAGAGAAACAGCCAGCAGTGGAAACAGCATAGTGATAGTGGAGTTGAAGAAGAGAAGCAGCCAGCAGTGGAGAGAGCGTAGCGATAGCGGAGCTGAAGAAGAGAAGCAGCCAGCAGTGGAGAGAGCGTAGTGATAGCGGAGCTGAACAGAGACGAAGCAGTTAGCAGTGGAGAGAGCATAGTGACGGTGATAGCGGAGCTGAACAGAGACGAAGCAGTTAGCAGTGGAGAGAGCATAGTGACGGTGATAGCGGTGAATAGAGACGAAGAAGTTAGCAGTGGAGTAAGCGCAGTAATAGTGGGGAGCGGAGAGACAAAGGTGGCGAGCGAGTCGAGTGAAGCACGCCGAGCGAGCCGTGGGGACATGGATATTGTGGAATATGAAGGACATGCGGAGAGTTGTAAATAAAGCGGTGTTCGAAGAAGACAAGAGCTGTCCGAGTGAAATCGAACACTACACATACATTATCAGAGTTATGATTTTTGTTTGCATTCCGACCGCAGGTATTGTGGTCAATGCAAACATGACTCCTTGTCAAAAAGGTGTCAGTTTTGTTGCTAGATAAAAGGGTAAAAAAAAATAATTATAACATTACTGCTGTTCTTCATGTACTCATGCCCATCCGAACAAGCACACCGATAATGTGGAAAGCGGCACAGTAACTGTCTGTCGCCGGAGGCGATCACTGCGAAGTAGAAGCATAGGAGGCTGGAGCGTCTTTGGAAGAAAATTTGTTTCAAGACTGCCTGACTCGCTTACCGTGCCACCCCTAGATCTACAAACCAACTCATTATTGATTCTCGCAGATAGTTCTATGCTCTGGTCGTTAATGAGTTGGCTTGCGACTCCCATGCTCCATGGCGCGTCATGAAGGGTCTGCTTCACTCCAACCACCTAGCAATTAGTCAAGCCCGTCTATGCACAGTACTTGCAATGTTCTTCGCCATTAAAATAGTGATGATCAGGACGGCTGTTTATAACTTGAAAGTAACGCGTTCTCCCGGTCTGGCATCTTGAGTTTTATCAACCTGGAACCAGTGCAAAACTCGAGACCTTCGCACCAGCGTCGATGGCAGAGGTGACAATGTTTATCACACGGCTTCCAAATAAAACATCGCCGCTCAACACCACCAGCAGATCGTGGGTTCAATACCTACCCTATCGCCTTTATATTTGGAGTTTGCACGTCTATCTCCCTGTGGTCGAGTGGATTTTTTATCTGGGTCCTCCAGTTTTTCTCTCATTTATAATCAACATAAAGCATTCAGAGTATTTGGCTGCTATAAATATCCACATGGTAAGCCACTTTGTTGAGCTATCGTTTGTGATAGCCAGGTCGCTTCGGAAAAAAATACCTATATAGATCTCGACTATGGCGCCAGTATATTTGTAGTTTGCATGTCTCTCTCCCCGTGGTCGCGTGTTTTTTTTTCTTTCTCCAGGCCCTCCGAGTTTCCCTCCACATTTAGAAACATGCATTGATATTATTGAGATTATTTTGCTGCTATAAATGTCCAAATGATAAGCCGATTTGTTGATCTATCATTTGTGGCCAGGTCGCTTCTGAAAGATAAGTTAATACCTCAGTGGGCTTTGCGTGGTAAGATGGGGATATTTTCATTTTATTTGTATGTGGTTGGGTCATTTGTTTACCTTTCTTGTACTCTTCACTCCTATCGTGATATGGTATTGTGTGAGTTGTCGCGTTCTGACCCCGTTCCCCTACTGGACATGTGTAAAAGAGCCTTATCTGAGTTCGTTGGCTGAGCATGTTAGGGAAAAAGGGTTGAGCCTTTGGTGCAAGTTCCAGTTAAGTGTATGGCGGCGCCATTGTAAGTGGCCAGAGGGGGGCAAAGGGTCGATGCCACTTGCAAATCATTGGAGTCGCCATGCTTTGGAATCTCGCAACATTGGGCTCCAATGCCTATGCTGCGATGTGGGTGTTGAAGTCTCGGCACTGCCCTCACTCATTTTACATAGTATCCCCTTGAAGATAGGCACGGGATTCTCACTGGATTTAGTTGAGGTTGGGATTCCAACCCAACCATTTTCGTGTCAACTTCGATGCATGACATAGATTGTTCAGAGGACTAAAGTAATGGGCCAAATATTGATATGATTTTGAAAACACACGTGATTACATTTCTGTTGTAATATTTGTTATGCCCGTTCTCACCTTGTATCACCAGACGAGTGCCTGTAAAGGTCTGGTATTTAATATCACGTGACTTCATGTGTAATATTATTCGGCAGTAGTACGTATTCTGGTCGCTGTGCCTTACACCACTGATCTGTAGAGAAGCCTCGTGTTTGTCAGGATTTCCCATCAAGGTCAGGCGGTCTGCGAAGAGCTTATGGACAAAGGTCTGGTTGTCTAAGTTGTTGAAGATGGAATGCCCGAGAAAGTTTCCAATTCTCCATATGACGCTGACTTTGCTGGGCTTCTCAGA